ACTTTAAACGCTTTATTTTCCATGTAGCTGGTCATGATTCTAAAATGTGGTTTAGGTAAATAAACTACTTTTAAAACGTGTGAAAAACGTTCAAGGAACAAAACAAAAATTAAAAAAATATATAAATGGATACTTTATGTTTTTTTAATAGTAATTCGCACATTATAACAAATCGGAATTACATTTTTAAACACCACATTCTTTATCTAGTCCCTTAGGTATTTTCAAGAATTAGAAGAATATATAATAACAGTATTCCATCTATACTGTAATTGCCATATCTACTGCCAACGACACGTTTCGCACAATCCAAAACTGTTCAGGCCATCTGGGATACAACAAACAAAGTAGTGGTCGGAAACTATTTATATAAGCCATTTTATATAACAATAATTGTTATGGTGTGTACGTTTTTTACAAGCAGGCGAAGAACGATTACAATTATACTAATGTCTTATGACAAGTATAATTGTAATCATTTTTCGCCAGCTTATAAAAGGCGTGCACACCATAACAATTTAGGATGTTAATAAACCTACCACAACCAACGCTCTAACCTGGACTCTCAACTCATACTAGTACTGTACAAACTACGTTACTAATCTTTAAGTATAAACCAAATAAAGATCATTGTGATAGTTTTGTCATAAGTATTGTAAAACTAATATATTTCTGTAATATTTGATAACTCACGGTACAGTTTTTTGTCTTTGAAAAGCAAACGAATACACTTGAAAGTAATTCAAAATAAAATGTGATTTATGAGTCTGAAATATTTACATAGGAACATAAGCGAGACAGCATTTACTGATTGCGTTATTATGTGGAGTTCAATAAAACTTCTTTCAAGTAAGTTGAGCTTCTGCATGCGTCCTTAAACCCGAGGATGGCAAAATCTTGTCGAAACGTCATACATTTATAATAAAGTTTTTTCATCAACCAGTCAAGCCATCTCAAAACTTTTATTTTCTGATAAGGAGAACACTAATGCCTGTCAGTTTTATGCCTCTCTGTGGAAGGTTGCTAAATGACTTTAAAACTGGAAATTTTAAAAGTGGAATAAGATGAATAGTTTGTTATTCACTACATCGTCTATTCACCTTAGAAAGTATTCGAGGCTGTTCTTGATATGCCTCCCATGGTTCCTTTCCATCCTGAATGTTTGTTTCAAGATCGGGTGATTCTCTTGAAATGGCCTGCTAAATGTCATAACTTGATAACATAGTGGTACAGCTGAGGTAGTCCATGAAGGTTCTGCAGTCATATGTAGCACAACTTTGGTGTTAACATGCTCAGACTAGATGGGCTCCCGTATTCCATATTGCATAATTAAATAGTGTTATGGTTGGGTTGTTGAATTGATGCGGAGAGAGATGCAGCTAGTTTGATTTTATATTCATCAGCCCTATTTCTATATGTTTTGTCTTGGCAGTGATGTTTTTGCCAGATTTATTGTTATAATCCTTCTGTGTTTCGACGATATTGTTTTGTACTTCCTTTTTCAACCTCGTTGAGTCCTTTTTATTCACATTTTTACTTCGCTGATGCCATTTTGTTCTTCTTTTTATTTCATTTATGTTCTTTTGTACATTTTCTCTGGCTTATTCATTCTTGTACTTGATCAAATTAATTTTTGGTCGTAATTGTTTTGTAAATATTACGTGTTGTTCTTATAATTTCTTTATTAAATTCCTGCCTCTTTATTCTTAGTCTTTTTTTTCCTGCCTCTTTCTTCTTGATTGGCCCGGCATGGCCAGGTGGTTAGGGCTATCGACTCGCAATTTGCAGGTCGCGGGTTCGAATCCCCGACACACCAAACATGCTCGCTCTTTCAGCCGCGGGGGCGTTATAATGGGACGACCATTATTACTATTCGTTGGTAAAAGAGTAGCCCAAAAGTTGGCGGTGGGTGGTAATGACTAGCAGCCTTCCCTCTAGTCTTACATTGTTAAATTAGGAACGGCTAGCGCAGATAGCCCTCGTGTAGCTTTGCGCGAAATTCATAACATACAAACAAACAATACTTCTTGGTCGTCTTTTTATTTTTTTCCATTTGCAGCAAATTTTCAATCTCGCTTCGAGTATGTGTCGCCATCTTGAAGTTCTGTCTGGACTCTTATTTTTACTAAAACAAGTCAATCCAGTGATCTGTGTTACAACGGTTTATATTACTGTGCGGGTTCTTAAGTATTGTTCATTAAAAAATAATGCAAAGTACAGTCCATCTGCTGGTAATGTAAGGAGAACTCATTACATCAATCAACAATATACTCGAGTTTTGCCTAGCTCGTTTTATATCATTCATGTTCTTTCCAAAACTTTTAGTATAATTCTAGACAAACTGTGCGTCCTTCGCGTGACATTAAGAATTTCCTGTATCCAATACAAACGTCTACATTAAAAACAGTCTCCAATTACTGGTACAATATAAGATATATGCTCAATTTTGAATAAAACAATCAATTATCTTTCAGCACAAACATTACGAAAATTTAGTTTTTAGTTTAGTCAACCCTAGTTAAGATGCCTAAGGCAACTTGTAGTAATAATCCTCTTATTTAACAAAAATACCATATTCAAATAAGATTATTCCAACTTCAAATAAAATTAGATGCTGAGAAATAATACAGATGTGTAGTTTAAGATTTTTTGGCTTTCTATTAGAAAAGTTACTTGAGGTGATTATCTCAAAATAGCCACCACCTTCTACTAAGACACTGATATTTTACAATAAACTGTTTTAATCTTGGAAGGAACTTTTATCTATTTACGACAAAGAAATAACATATATGCACAAACTTTCGTTTTTAATTTTTTGTTCAAGATTTGTGTTGAAAGGTTTGAGGGGAGGTTTGTTTGTTTTGAATTTCGCGCAAAACTACA